TGTTGTGAAGAATTATACCCAAATTCTTAGACAGAATGATTGTTCTCTATCTATTGATGGCCACTTATTAACATGTAAATGTACTTCCATTCAAAATAATTCTCAAATTGCCATTCTTACTACTGAATATTCAGAAGATACAACTCAATCGTTAACTACTCAATCAAGTAACAACTTGCTTTACCTTCTATTCCTGTTATTGTTGATCATATTAATAGGTATTGCAATAGTTGGGGTTGTTGTGGTTCCTGTTATCATTGTGTTGGTCAAGAGAAAACAAAAGAAACCAAAAGAAGTTGTAAACTCTGTTGAACTACCAACAGCAGTTCATAATTTGTGGCTAGAAACAAAATAGAGTTCATCAAGGTTTTCTCATATTCTTCAGAACTTTTGTCTAAAAATATTTTTCCAAGATTTGCAATAAAACCAAAGAGGACTAACCACATGAAACACAAACAATTCAAGAAAAAAGCAGTTAACAACAATGCAATTATTCGTCAAGACACTTACTGGAAAAACCATCACATTGGAAGTTGAATCAAATGATTCAATTGAGAATGTTAAAAGAAAAGTTCAAGATAAGGAAGGTATTCCACCAGAACAACAAAGACTCATCTATGCTGGTAAACAATTGGAAGATGGCAGAACGATCAATGATTACAATATTCAAAAAGACTCTACTCTTCACTTGGTATTGAGATTGAGAGGTGGTATGCAACTCTTTGTTAAAACCCTAACTGGAAAGACAATTACAATTGAAATGGAATCAAATGATACTATTCAAAATATGAAACAAAAGATCTTTGATAAGGAAGGTATTCCATCTGATCAACAAAGATTGATTTATGCAGGTAAACAATTAGAAGATGGAAGACAACTCTCCGATTACAATCTTCAAAAGGATTCAACAGTTCATTTAGTTTTGAGATTGAGAGGAGGTTAATATTCTAGCTCCATTTTCGAAATTCATTAAATAAAGTGTTACTACTCATACTCATAGCTTCTGTGATTACCTTTCCAAATCCAATAGTGGATCTTCAAAGTCTTCCTTCAAAATATGATTAATCCGTTTCAAATCTAGAGGTGATAAATGATTACCAAGTAGGGAGACTTCTTTTAATCTTGGCATTTTGAGAAGGAAATCAACGAGTGATGAATTAAGATAGCAATCATCCAATGCTATTTTCTCCAAATATTTAAATTGATTATGTTCAAATAAATAGCTCCAATCAGGCATATATAGAGAGTAGTTATTACTCAGATTGAGATAGGTCAATTTTTTAAACATTGGATTGTGAGCTAACTGTTCAATATGACGTCGTTGCATAAATGTTGATTGCAAACTCAAACTCCTCACATTCTCAAATCTAGAATTCACCAAATTATCCATATTAGGTCTGAATAAATCAATGGGAACTTTGAATCCTGCTTTGCTCCATTTCTTTGAGACCAACAAGAAGATGTTCAACAATTCTTCTAAAGTCATGAATTCCAAAATACTATAAATCACATCCTCTATTAAAAGATCCGAATTTATCACAACTTTCCTTCTGGTGTTATTTGTATTTTGAACAGGAAGAGAATGTTGCTGTGAATTCGCATCTTCTGGACTCACCCTCTCATCAATGTGGAATATCTCATTGATAGTATTAACACATTGATCAAAGTTGTTGGCAGAAATTTTAAAATGTTTCACAACTCTATTAAAGAATGTATCAATTTCCAAATATCTTTGAATGATAAATTCTGAAATTGCCTCTGGATCATTATCATCACCATCATAGGACTTGACATAATCAGAAAATTTAATTCCATTCTTTACCTTCCTCTCCAAAACGTCCATCTTGTTAAATATGATATAAATTGGCAATTTTTGAACTAGTTCATTATGATACCACGTGTCCCAATTTGATAATCCCTCTTCATATCGATTGGTAACATCATCCTCATAACACAATTCATCAAACTCTGAAAGAGAAACCACAAAACAAATGACTTTTCCCTCTTCATATTGCAGGTGGATTGGCCATTTCTTTCGTTCAGTTCTCTGACCTCCACTATCCACACAAACATATCCACTCCTGTACGAAATTTCCACAAATCCAGTCGTCTTTATCATGCAATAGAAGGTATCCTCTCTGCACGGATGAAATCCACTCCTCATTATCCTCTTAAAATTTCGTTGCTGTATAAAATAATGAACTGCATCCATGTATGCGAAACTGCTCCTCCTTTCAAAGACAAATTTCTGAAAACCAGGATCCCACCACATTGAATAAATTTTCTTTGCAAATTCCTCATCCCAAATACTTGCAGTTTTTGCCATATAAATCATTAAACTGTGATGATTAAATTCATTTTCGAAAAATTCTTGATTTTTACGTTTTTTCAATTCCTTTCCAAAATCAGTGCCCAAAATAAATGTTGGAATATTTAGGATGTTTTCGTACATGTAATCGATAAGTTTGAGAGATAGGAATTCGGGTATGGGATGAATGGCTCTCATGATTGAACCTTTTTGTATTTCGAAAGTTTATTCGAAATGGAAACTTACTTTTTCCTGAACCACCACATCCTAGAAAGATAATGGTTCGTTGATGTTTGTTAATTGATGATGATGCTGATGATGGATTAACATCTTGTCGAAGAGTTTGAGGAGGCTTTTCTTCTTCTTCACTAATTGACAGTTGACCTACAAGCTTTGACAGTCGTCTCATTTTTTTTCAAGATATCATGATGGCAACCACCATATTGTAATTGCTTAATACCTTCATAAATGGCTTTCTCTTTTCAGACAATCACAATAATCCTACTTTCGCTCAACAATCGTCAAGTTTAACGCTTTTATGAAAGATGAGAAAACTGAAATGAGAAAGCTAGCTCAAAATGTCATTCTTCACCCATAAGAATATGTGCATTACTTTTGTGGTACTTCTTTCACTGAAGTTTTTTCTTTCCTTTCATTGCCTTTTGAACACTTTCCCAACAAACACACATCATCTTCATCAAGAGGAATCAAAGAAAATATAGATTCTCTTTCGTTTCATAATTACTCTCTCATTGTTTTCCAATAATTGACTCTCAATATTCATCTCATATAAAAAAGCATACAAACTTAACTCATCAAA